TTAACCACAGGCTATAGATGTCTTAGTACTTGACCTCTCCTTCTTGTTTACAAATGCATAAATTAAAAAGGCAAAGAGCTAACTGCAATAAAGCACATTATAATATGGTAACCCTGAAGGTTTGTGAGCATCATATAAAGACAGCCACTGCAATCTGTGTGTTTTTGTATTTGTGAGTTTTACTAAATCACAGCAGCAAAGATGGAGTAGGGATGAAAGGGTCGCCCCAGGGGACTGTGGAAACACACACACACACACACACACAACACACACAACACATGCACGTATAACTTTCCCAGATCCAAGATTTGTATAAAATCTAATCTGTAATCTGCTATCTGACAAAACATCTAGTACTTTCTTTGTTTTTTGTTTGTTGTTTTTTGTAGAGAAGCATGTAGAACACCCCCAGCATGATGTCACTGCAAAGTATCAGTAGTAAGGACAACATGAGTATCAGGCAGAACAGGATCAAACTGACTCTACTTAACTGGGTAGTTGTAGTCCAATATCAAAAGCATTGTCTGTTGAAAGAGATTGCGCATTTGTATCCTAGCACACATCAGTTTTGTGAAGTTGTTTTCAGATCATTGCCTCGCTGCAGGTTTTAAAGGTTGCTAATTTTTGTAATCCTCTGGTAATAAATTGAATGTCGATTTAATTAATTAGCCATTTTCTCTTGTCAGTTTGCCTGATTTAGCTGACAAACCTAATTTACTATCAACATTTTCATTTCTTACTCTGGTGCACAACTCCTCAATGTCATGTGCTTTGTTGCCTAGGCTGTTGTTAATTGCATAAATTTGAGTATGGAAAGATTTAATAAAGTATGCATTAAGTAAAGTAGGTGAGTAGGTACTTCCATTAAAACTTAATGCCCCATCCAGCATTAGAGTTGGACTCTACGTTTACCATTGTGAGACAGGATCAGGGCCTTCACATGGGTCTGTACTATATTTGATTCCTTCTTTTTGTAGATTTGAATTGGACAGCTTTCCTTATTCACACATACTTAAAAGTTACACAAAAAATATACATATATAATTTATAGTGAACTTTAAATGCCTATGAACCCGTGCTGTTAAGTCAAAGTTATAAGATGTTGTACTTAAGTGGCAGCAGTGGATGCAATGGTCCCTTGGAATGAAGCTTAGCAGCAGTTTCTTGAGCAGTTACTCAGAGAGTAACTCAGAGAGTGCTGTGGGGCGTACAACATCTCTGCAGTGTTAAACTTCACTTTGCTTACATGACTAATTCTGACTTTTGGCTTTTGAGGGTTAAAGTTCAGCAGTGCCAATGGCCATTTTTCATGTTTTAAATGCATTTAGTCAATCTGTAAAAAGTTTAGTGATTTAAAGTGATTTATTTCTTTATTTTTGGCTTCTAGAACTCAGTACTGTATGTGTCCTTTTGCAGATGTTATGTATATTGAATCCATAGATTTACACCGTACATTACAATATTGAAAAAGGGGATATCAATTCCAAGTAGTATTTATTGTTTGTTTATGACTGAGTTTGAGGTGTTTAGTGGTCTTCTGGGGACTGAGGGGACAGAGGGCCCATGGACTGTGATCAGTAAGGTAGTGCAGCTTTAGTTTTCCTGATAATATGTATGAGGTTAATTTGATTCGACCAAATTAAAAGAAAAAGTTGTACTGGCTGATTTAGCAATTAAAAATCTCAATTTAGGTCTATTATACTTACACCACGCTTAGGCTAGCCTGAGCCTCAAGCCATTAAAAATGGCCGATTGGTCTCTGTGTATTATGAAAAAGTAATTGGTACAATTATTTTAAGTGGTATAGCACATAGCTACATAATGTAAATGATGTCAGGTTTATAATTAAATCAGCTTCAATGCATAGTGACTGAGGAATTTAACTGAACTATAACACCAGGAGGGGAGGTTCCTCTTATAGAAGAATTGTAAAATAAATAAATAAATAATATGGTGTCTAGGGTGTACAGTTATCAATCCACCTATCTGTCCATTAGCAATTAATATTTTGAACACATAGACTATTCTTATATTACACTTTGACGACACTATTTAAATACGGAGTCACCACAGTTACAGTCAAATTTGCAGTAATGTCATGAGAGCCATCGAATTTAACAGATGTAAATTAAAAGTTTTGTTTCTTTTATTTACTCTTCTGCTCTCACATCCAGTTGGAGTCATGCATCTTTCCTTTTCAAACCCTTCTCCGTCTTAACTCTGCACAATATGTTCACACTTTCACTTGAAGAGCAGTGGACTGGTGTGGTGCAAATTTGCCTTCACTATTCACAGCCCACACCTCAAAAACGTAAGCTAAAGTCCCAATAAACCTTGCCTGGCACACTTTAAAACTCAATCTGGGTGAGCAGCATTGATCGAAGATTTAAGTCAGCGCCCCAGGACATTTTTTATGAAGAGAAGTTATTACATTGCCATTTCTATCCCGGTTTTTCTCCAATGCTAAGAATTTCACACATCCTGGCTCTTTACCTGATACTTTCACTGCATATGTTTTGGGCCAGCCAGAAGATTAGCTGAGCTCCCAAAGATTACAAGTTCCTCCTACTGGCACAGCAAAGTGGACATGTGCAGAGGAGAGGTTCTTTATCCAAGCTGAAAAAGTGTCATTTAAGATTGTCCCAAGGCGAGACACTTGACCTTCGTCCTGTGCTCAGGGCAGAGGGAGAGAAAGCCAGAGGTATATTTGGGCTTGAGTGTGAGATGGACGGTATAAAATGTGCCCGAGGCCACAATCCCTCTATCATTTAGAATGGCCTCAGAAGTCAGAGACATTATAGCCCCAGTCTGTTTAAAACTGAAAAGTAGTTGGAAATGTTGATTACTTTCATGCCAAGTATTAATGTCTGTCTGAGGAGAGACTACTGGAGAAATGGTTCTTTATTTGTGTGCATTATGAGCTTTTCTTATCCAGGCATTTTCAATATGCAGCTTTTTTTCAGCATAAAAGGTGCACTGCGTAACTTTTGGGGGAGAGTATGTTACCTGTATGTCTCCCTGAAGATTTATCTGCCTAGAATGTTCCATGATTTATGGTATTAAACATATCAATCTCCACTGAGACAGGTGGGTGTCACCAAGATACAGGGTACACATCTATCTGTGGAAAGGCTGTAATGTTTTTCTCAGTATGTTTGTTTGAGCAATAAAACAAATCTATTAGACTTACAGTATGCTCAAGTGAGTGTAAGCCTCAAGCGATTACAGAATGCTGATTAGTCGATATTCTTAGGTGTTATGGAAAATAATTGGTACAACTATATAAAGCGGTATAGCATATATCATGAAGCTGATTGGTCCAACCGTAAGAACAAGCAGAACAAGCTGAAAAAAGAAACTCATATTATATCCAGTTGGGAGAAAAGCACAGACTTCCCTGTCCACAAATGTACAAAGTGTTTACCTTCTGTACATTCTTCACAAACAAAATTTGTTTTTGCTAAAATAGGCAGAAGTACGCCTGTCGGTGTGACTGTATTTGTTTTGGTTTGCATAGGTTTCGTACAGAACGCAATTTGAAGCTTATAGCGGGAGTATCTCAAGACGGATTCCTGGATGAACCTGACTATTGCAAACAGACATGGAGGTTCATAGCATTACAAGGCATAGAATACAGTACACACATTATAAAGAAGATTAAACTGTCAACCATCTGTCAGTTTCCAATTAGCATACTTGCTTCATGACATATTACCCTAAAGACACTACTGAAGGGGTTTCCAACCTGTAGCCCAGGAGTTTCCAGTAGCTCTCCACCCCCTTCCAAGCAGTTCACCAAGGGATTTCTGAATTATATGTACTGTGCTAAATAACTAAAACTGTATTAGTTGCCATTGTAAATTTATAATTTTGATGCCTAACTAAATGAATGGATTATGGTTTGCAGTTTATAGACGTCTAACTGTACTCAATCTAAGGCTCGCTGTGGGGCTTAAATGTTCTAAATTTCTTGTGAACACTAAATTGAGTAGCTCTCTGGCATTTTGGTTTGGTAAAAGTAGCTCACTGGAGGAAAAACGTTGGAGACCCCTGCACTACTGTATTTAAGTCGCCACAGTCGAACTTGAAGTAGTGTAAGGGGAGCCAAAGACTGCAACAATCTTTTAATTATATAAATTCTAGATAGATCTGTTAAATGCCATACTGTAAAACAATTGAGTCACTTAAGAGTCACCACCAGAATAGTTATGAAGGGCACTTTTACAGTCAACCAGTTGGTGTAGAAGCTTTCTGCAAGTTAATAATACTTGTCTCATCAAGCCACATGCAGGGACCAATGCAAGTGAACTATTTAAGCCTGAAGAACACTGTTAGGAAAGATCGAACCTCTGGTTGGTGGGCGAGTGTCTCTGAAACTTACTGCAGATAATGTATGACTTTTTACTTATACTTGCTTATAGGTGTTTGGTCTGAGCAAGTACATTGTGGCAGTCCCAGCAGCAGAATTAGCAGTAGCTGAGAAATAATTGTAGTAGTAGTAGTAAGAAGTTGTGCTATTGTTGTTTTTTTTCTTCTTGCCCATACACATATAAACTGTATTTTTCAAGGTAAACAAGGTGACAAAACCCTGCTTTTATTTCCCAGGTTTTAAGTAAGTTTATAATGCAACTTTTTATCACACATTTTGGTTCACCTTACTTCAACAAAAAATATTCCAACTATATTGGCTGCATAGGGGTTTTGAGTCCTTCCTCCATATCTGCTTTTGCTATTGAAGAACTACAACCTTAGATCCAGATTTCCATAAGCCCTAATAATGGTTGTGTGCGTAGATCTATGAATACATTGTGCATTGGCGGAGCATTATCTCAGCAGGCTGATATTACACCGAGGCTCATTTGCCAAATCCATATGTGTTCTGTGTCCACTATCTCCTGTGGCGTTAATCCGGCCTTTTATAAGAAAACTCATTTCCTGTCTCGTGTCATCTTTTCTCTCGCCTTTTGTTTGCTTTTATGGTCTTTTTTTTTTTTTTACAGTAAATTCCCAACGCAGCTGCAGTGTGCCTGGTTCTGAAAGGCTAGCAGGATGTATCATGCTGCCCCCTGCCCAAACACTGGCTGGATGAGCGGTTGGTATCCCACAGTGAGTGCTTACACAGAGCATACACGGCTAATACCTGGAAAATACTTCTCCGGAGACGTCATGGCTGTAATGACTCTAACCAATGGGACTGATGTACAGGATTTGTATGGATGTGATTGTATCTGTGCATAGACTTGATTGAAAAGAATGACTTGAATGGCAACATGAAGGTCAATGTGAATTATTAAACCTATGTGATGTTCTACAAATATTAGCTCATTCTTTCAGACACAATAAAACAGATTACTACAGAGGAATGCTGTGATTGCACAATATAAACACGAGCTCTGCATGCAAACACTGAATGCTGATGATTTATTGGAAAGGCTTATTGAAATCTATACAATAATCATTTTTGCTGCTAACTATTATTACTGCCATTTTCTATTACTTATTTCCACCTACGAGTGCATATTTTTGCCATGACTGGTTCATTGATTGGTGGTTGATAATGAATAGCGTAATGCAGCTCAAAGTAGAAAGAAGCATTCAACCCATATGATTTTTTTTTCCTTTTGTAATGAAATCTGGCTTTATTTATTGATTTTATTTATTTATCTATTTGATAGGGGCAGTACATATTAATGAACATCTGTGATTATAGTGTAAATATTAGGGGTGTAATGATATCCAAGTCTCACAATATGATATTGTCATGGTATTAATCTCACTGTATGGTATTTATTGGGATATTTTGGGAAAGCTCACGAAACGGTGGGGAGGCTCACAATTAGAGATGTAACGATAACCAAATCTCTCTGTACAATGTTTTCATCTCACGGTATATTTTTTGCGATATTTTGTGGAAGCTAACAAAACTGTTAATACGCTGCTTTTTCCACTTAAAATGCCTTGACAAAACTTAATGCAAAGAACTAAGACTTAAAAGTGCTTAGAACTGTTATTTCTTCATGTAGTCTGCACTGAAATGGAGCAAAGGATCATTTTTTAGCTATTGCTGCATCATAACTCTTAATTTAAGCAAAGAGACTTGTAATTCGATATATTGTGATGGTCCACGATATTATTGTGAGAACTTTGATGATACGGCATCATGATATTTTGGTTATTATTACACCCCTAGTAAATATGCTATACTACAAAAAAAAAAAGTAATTTCCATATGTTTATCTTTAAAGATGAGCTATTTTACTTGGCGACCAGCTTGTGTCCATGAAAATACTGATGATTATATCTATCTTGCATTTATTTACTTTTATTGCATCAAAAATATTTATTCTTACTGTGAGCAGGGCCACATCTCCATAGATCTGACCTGTAACTTGGTCTGGGAGCTGCTTGTCTTAATGGAGATAGCTGGTTTAACGCAATACTGTGGAAAATACTGGGCCATTAGTCATGTATCCATAAAGACAAACATGTGGCCAACCCTCGAGAAAAGGTACATAGTGCACGTTAATAAAAAGACAGTAATAATAATACGTCTGTCCATTTGATATTACAAGAATGTTTCAGAATGGAATAGTGAAGGTGGAAATAAGAAGCTTCATGTAATAATAATATAAAAGTTTATATTTCAACTTTCTAATAATGCATTCACAGCATGCAGGTTGTAGACTGTACAGAAGAAAGTCACTCACTGATATATTAATGTTCAATTTAAAAGTGAAAAATGCATGAGGAATATGATTTGATATGACATTTTGGGCCATGGCATTGAGGTTCAAGGTAAGTCTTTTGGTAGTTTTTGGGCACATTTTCACAAACTTTACTTTTCATTGGGTTTGAAGAAAAAAAAAAAAACTTCATGATCTCAGTGGGAAAGACCTTTATTGCCAAGAATTGTTCTAACAGTAGCTTTCAAAAGCAGTTTAAACCAACACGGTGTAAGTTTGGCACTTCACCTGCATGACTAAAATACAAAGTCCAAACCATAACATTTTATCCAAAGCAATTGAATTTCCACTGCAACAAACACAGGGAGGTCCCAAATGACTCATAGTAAAGCTGGGCTAATGCTGTGTTCATGTGGTCCTCAGGAACTCGGAAAAATTTTTATTTGGGTGGAAAAATCCACAAGTCGTAAATACAAATCAGGAACTCAGACCAAAACCTTCTGCCCCACTTCTGTACCTGAAGTCACCTGCTCTCCAGAGATGAACGAAAATATGCAGATTTGTTTTTGGTTTTTTTAGTGGTAGAGTTGTCATATCCACTGACCTACAGTTTGGCAGTTCAATTCCAGCTCCCACAGATGAATGCTGTCATTGTGTCCCTGGGCAAGACAGTTAACTCACCTCGCCCTCAGTGTCTGCGTAAATTGATGTATGACTGTGTGTGCGAATGGATGAGTGGTTCCTGTATATAAAATGCTTTGAGTGCCTTGAAGGTGGAAAAGCGTGATGTAAAAATGTGACTATTTACCATTTAGTACAAGAAAACATCCCTATTAAAAATATATGCCTTTATTTTAGTCTGTCTTTTGTACACAAAGTTACACGGTGTGGCTTTAAAAACAGGGGTGACGGCAGCAGCAGTACAAGAAGCACTAGCACTAGTAGTATCAGAAGTACACTTTAGTCATTAGCAATAAACATAGTACTAAAAATATTGTTGGCACTCTCTGCTCTCTCCTCACTGTCCCCTCCTGTAATACACATTCTGTTTTTAATCAAATGACTTGCAGATTTCCTCCTGTGTTTTCTTGTGCTAGAGTCTCGCTGTGCGCCTGTGTGTGTGGACAGTCCATTCATTAAAGTGAGTGATGTGTGGTCAGAGCTGCTGTGGGTCTGTGTGTGTTTAGACATCACACTGGCCTCAGAGTGTGTGTGTCCACCAGAGCCATAGATCAATGCTGTTTTAAGGGCAACGCAAAGGGAAGGCAGCAGCCGTGACAGCAAGGAGAACCTGGTGAAAGATCCTTTTATGACAATATTAGACACTATTCATCTTGGGAAAACACAACATAGCATACAGATACATAACTCAGAAATGGAGAAATGGAGCTTTCACCATGCAGTCATATAGAACTGTGCAAAATGAAAGTAATGAAGTACTATGGATTAAATATTCTTCCAAATCCTAATCAGAAAGAAAAAACAATACTTGCCTTATTTAAGTATAAAGCTTTTTTTCTGTATTTTGGGAACTGACATCTACATATTTCATTCTAGTTCTAGTTATTAATTACTTTTTAAACTTAAAACTATAATAATTCCAACTAAAATAATTCAGCATTTGTTACAGATATAATGGTAACCATAAGTTCACACTGGAAAGAGACAGTTGGTATATAGAACATATAGTGGATATAGGCAGCCTGCACACACTTCTCATGACAGATTTTATTAGAGAAACCAGAAATCCACTTGGTCAGCAGAACCCACCAGTTGCTGACAACGAAATGCAAACTGTGTGACCCCACACTCCAGTCTATAGACTCCAGTGCACATCCCAAACACAGGGCCCAGGAGAGATGATATCATTTCAAGACTAAAATACATTTCCTCTTCCACCCTGAGGCATTCTTAGGCTGTCTCTTTTAGCTGCACCCTGAACCCAAGCACTCAGCCTTATCCTGTGCATCACCCAAAGGTGGCAGCAAAACAGAAAATCCAATAATCGTTTTGCATAAGGTATATTGCACTTATTTAATAGAGCATATTGAATGATGTTGTAGTTTTTAAGCCAAATTGGGACTGTCTAACCAGGGACACTATTTATATATTTATCAATTTTCTATCTGGTTCATGTTAAAACCACAACGGAATTAGGAACAGGAAAACAGTTCTTCAAAAGTGGTGAATGATTTGTTATTTAACTTTGTTTATTTAACTGTTGGAGTGACAATAGCTCAGTGTCTGTTCACTGATCCAACGGTTGGCAACTTAAATCCCACTCTCAACATAAACATCATTGGTAGAGCAGTCAGATCCACTGACCCACAGGTTGCTGGTGCTATTACAGCTCCCATAGTTCAATGCTGTCATTGTTTCCTTGGGCAAGACACATTTCACCCCTAATGTCTTTGTGCACTGGTGTGTGAATGTGTGTCTGGATGGGTGATAAAAAATTTGAGTGCCTTGAAGGTGAAAAAGTGCAATATAAAATCAATATCACCCCATGGCTTCATGCTAATTAAGGTAATAATGCATTGGATTTAAATAGCACCTTTCTATACTCTGAAAGCACTATACTTTAATTTGATGGTAAGTTTCTATACTGTAGACACAGCTGCATGCTGTGCAATGTGCATAAGGATCATGCTAATTGGTCTATTTAAAAAGAGCCCTGTAGTGTAACTGGATAGTTCTTTGGAACTTGAGGAGTTCTACAGTCCATCATTTTAACTTGATTAAATGTATGGTTCATTAAGATGAAGGTATACTTTATTATCCCTGTCTGTCTGAATCTAATGCTTCATTGAATACATGGGCCAGTCTGTAAGGTGGAGCTGGTCAGCAGTACCTCTCCTATGGACTTTTCTTGTTGTGTGGTTAGGAATACCTCGCTGGAAAATGCTTATTTAAGACCAGTCATTGCCCTTTAAATCATATTTGTAAATATTTTTTGCAAATGAAGACAACATCCATCTTAGGACATCTTGAGCTTTGTTCTCATTTCCATCATTCCACATCAAAGCTCTCGTTCTTCTTGACCTGCCTGCATGCTGCTCACAATCCCCCTCTGTCTCACTTCAAAATAACCCTCTGGCTCCAGGACGCTCAGAGAGTCACCCACTTTCCCCAGCCAAAGCCCACTTTCACTGCTACACTGCACTACGGGGAGCTCCCTAACCTCCAACCCCCCCATGGCAACACACATGCACCATCTGTATCATCTCTCACTGTGTCTGGCCTGACCCCCACCAGCTAGCCCCCCAGGACAGCTTAAGGGAGGCAGTCCAGCTTCTTCCCCAAGGTGACGAAGGGCTCACAGATATAAGCCATCATCTTAAAGTCATGCCCGGGGCCTATTTCGCACACTGCAAAATATTCATTTCTTTGGACGACAGGGCACCTCCATATCTCTGTTCAATCATCTAAAATTTATTTCGCCATTCTCTAATGTACACCTCAGCAGGTTGCCAGCACCCAAGGAAAGATATGTGAGTGATTAATAACCCAATGTGCT